ATCTCTGATCCGGCTGTAGTGCCGTTCTGGACCGGGTCTCTTTTGCTCGTAGGTCCACGTAATTTTTACACAGACCGGGGAACCACCACGACACTTGTGGGTCTCTAAACCTTTTATTTTTAAGGAGTCGGTAGAGGACTGAACAACCTCCACGATATCGGCCTGTATCCGGGTAGTTGTCTTGTAAAAAACAGTCTCACAAACAGAGTAGGTCGACTTCCGACCTTTACTGACAGACTGGTCTTATTTTACGGTTGTACATGAACCTCTTTTATCACGGGTCGCTCGTATCTTCGTCGCTTTAATACACTCGCGCGTACAAGTGTCGGATTCTCTGTTGTTGATGTTGTCGTTGTTGTTGTTGTTTGTTGTGTATTGTCGACAAGGAGAGTCGAGTGAGACTAAACGAGGAGATGAAGTACACAGAAAGAAAAGGAAGGAAAGATAGGAAAAAATGTAATTATTGACTCTTAAAACAAAATAATATAAACAACAAAAAATTACTTAATTAACTAAACATAAAAAAAAGAATAGTATAATAGGAACTACGAAACCGGATTATAACAAGTGGACTGTACGTACGGTTATTTTCGTATACTTTCACACCTCTCTCTTAACAACACACACACCACACCACACTTCCTCTCATCTCTCTCCTCTCTCACCACACACACACACACACACACACACACACACACACAAACACACACCACACACTACACACACACAGCACACCACACACACACACACACACACACACACACACACACACACACACACACACACCAGCACAACACACCAACACACACACACACACAACGGACATAGAACGGGAGCACCTGGTTGGGGACGTAGATGTTTGGAAATGAACACTCCTGAAAAGAAAAAACACTCTGCGAAACCGGCAGGTGTGTTCGTTTACGAAACTTATAAAACCTACTCGATAAACAAATTAGACTTACGAGAACACACTTAAAGATCTTTAACAGGGGTATCTGTATCTTGCAGCTTTTCACACACTTTCCACACAGGTCCCCGCAGAGTTATCTGTATCTTTGAGTCTTTTCACACACAGCCGGTCCTTGCGAGTAACCGAGGGGGATGTCGCGACCTAAAGCCTGCCACCTTAAAAGACTTAACCGATCCGTCGGACTTAACACAAACTAACCCGATTCCCAAGTCGACTTAAAAAACTAACCGATTAAAGCAGTACACTCTGGTACTGTCATTCCGACGTCTCCTTGTTGGATATTTGCATCTCTGTACGTCATGTAAATTTGATGCTTGTTTTGACTTTGTAATATAAAATTCTTTCTAATTCAAATAAAAAAGATGTTTAATTTTAATAATTTCATAATAATTCTTACTTTTGTACCTTGTTTTATTTAAGGTAACGTTGACATATTAATTCTTGATGTTGATTGTTCAATGATTAATGATTTTAGGTGACATATTACGAACTCATCAACCTTATATTGATTCAGTGTTTACAGAATATATCAAACATTTAAACTTTATTTTCTGGGATTAAGATATTGTTAACTAACCTCATATCATTAAACGACTTTAGTTGGACTTTAAGAATCAACGGGTCAAGGATATGGTTTTTGTCAATTTTACTCGAACGAGTATTAGAAAAAAACCCCTTGGACCTATGACTAACGAAAGGGTTGATATTGTAATATCTAAAAAATTAACCTAAACTATTCTTGAATCTATTAAGAAATAGTTTATCTCATAATTTCTTTTTTTTTTTTTTTCTTCAGGTTTGGTCCTAATCTTGGGTCAGTAGAATAACACAGTTTCACGGCAATAAATGAGTGAAATGATTCGTCATAAAAATGTAAATATATGTAAATATAATTATATATGTCAATGTCAAATATCGGCGAAATAAAAGTAAACGTGTATTTTGGTGATTTATGTTACATCTTTACCACTTAATTTACTAATACAGGGGCTGAGGAGGTCTGTTACGGTTGTACTATATATATAATATATATATATACACCAACAAAAGTTGACAAGTATGAACATCGAATATTTATAGTGATAATAGATATTTGTACAAGGGTGACGACCTGACAAAACGGGGACCAATGGAACGGTGCAAGGAGAACACGACCACGAACCAAGAAGGGACACCTTCCTGGCCGTGACATAATAGAGTGGAACGTTTAAATAAAATGTTACTGAGTGCCACAGCTCATGTATATTGACCATATTACCCGGCATAAGTTCAAATGAAGTGCAGCCGGATACGGTTACAACCACCAAACTCCTCTAGGTCATGATATCATTAATATGCTTATGTGAAAATAAATATAGTTAATCAAGTTACAGATCTAACTGTGGCCACTAGCGTACCGATTATTGTATGATGAACAGCAGGGGGAAAACAACGTGTCAATAAGTGAGTGTCAGACCCACAATATTCGGGGTCAATCGACGTCAGATTGCCAATATAATCGACATATTTTGCTGTTCAGTTAGTTCGGTTAAGACTACCCAGATCGGCACTATATGACACGCATATGGTCCCATCTTGACTTCAGAAAGTGTTGTTCGTCATAGGGCGGAGCAGACTCTTCTTTGTCATTGGCGTGATCGAAAAAAGTATGACCTTGGCTTCTTTCGTACCGCTCTTTATTGCCACGTCTCGGCAGGAAAACTGCGCGCGCCTCGATCAGGTCTGTACAGCTGTATCTTAGCCTTGCCGTTTTAGTATAAGTCACACGATCAAGTAAACCGAATATCCGTCACCTATGATTATGCAAAACTTACAAATTGTATACTTAACACAATGAAATTTCCTATCCCCTGTGTGGTCACTGAGTCTGTACATTGTTAATGTCTTCCTCAGTTTGGGATCAGTCACGGCGGTCAGATAGTTTGCCACCGTGTACTGTCTGTTTAGAACCAAATAGCATTGAAGTTTCTTTTGGGTTTTCGTGGTACATGTCCAATAGTTGATGTAATTTTCTTTTTCTTTAGCTATGATTTGGTTGGGCCAGATTGTGTGAGGGCTGTCCTGAGGCCTTGTCCTGTTAGAGGAGGTGAGCCTCAGGACCAGCTGGTTGAGGGGACTCCTCTCTATGTTCTCCTCTTGGCAATGGAGGGCTTTGTAATGGTAGGAGTTCTCTCTCTATCTATTTATCTATCTCCCTCTCTCTCTCTCCCTCTCTCTATCTATGTATCTATCTATCTATCTCTATATATATATCTATCTCTCTATCTATGTCTCTCTATCTCCGTCTCTCTCTCTCTCTCTCTCTATCTCTCTCTCTATCTCCCTCTCTCTCTCCCTCTCTCTCTCTCTCTCCCTCTATCTCTCTCTCTCCCTCTCTCTCTCTCTCTGTCTATCTCTCTCTCTCTATATATATATATATATATCTCTATCCATGTCTCTCTCTCTATCTCTCTCTCTATCTCCCTCTCTCTCTATCTCCCTCTCTCTCTCTCTCTCTCTATCTATCTATCTATCTCTCTCTCTCTCTTTATATATATATATATATATATATCTCAATTCAATTCAAAAGCTTTATTAGCATGACCATAATTACATACAGTATTTCCAAAGCTATGTATAGTTGTAACATCTATACAAATACACACAAATAAACAAACTGCTAAGAACATGTTTTTTTTTTTTACAAGGAATACAGATTAATTTCATTCATATAATACATGAATACAAAATAGAATAAGATATATATACTTAAGATGTGAGACCTGGTGTATCTGCTCATTCCGGTTCCCTCAGACTGTGGCAGGCAGAGACAAAGTGTCCTGCCACAATGCAGCTCTCTTTATATTCCCCGAGAAGTATTTTTAGTTTTTAGTTTTCATTTTTGAATAATTGAGGATGCTTATGATTGAGTTTTGGGAAGATTTGTTTCCGTACAAAATCAAAAGTTGGGCATTGTGTGAGGAAGTGCTGCTCTGTCTCCACAGCAGTTCCTCCACACTGTTGGCATGATCGCTCCTCTTTTGGCAGCCATGTTTTCTTGTACCTGCCTGTTTCTATGGCCAGGCTGTGAGCACTCAGTCTGTAATTTGTCAACAACTTCCTGTGTTTAACATCGATCACTGTGGTCAGGTAGGCTGCCACAGTGTACTGTCTTTTTATAGCATTGCATTTTACTTTGTGTTTGGGATTTAGTGTTCCAATAAGTGAGGTAGTTTTGTGTGTGTTTTGTTATAATCTGGTTTACTCTAATAGATGTGGGCTCAGCCTGGCCCTGATCACAGTTTGAACCGGTTTGTGAACAGAGTGTCAGGACCAGCTGAGAGAGGGGAATCTTGTTCATCTCTTGATGCTGCAGGGCTTTGTGGTGGTAGGAGTGGGGGTAACTTTCTTTTTAATTGATCGTTTCTGGATTTGTATTAATAATGGAAATGTGCCTTATTCCGCTCTGCAGGCGTTGTTAGTTGTTCTCCTGTGAACCTGGAGGATGCGTTTGCAAAACTCATTGTGAGCATTTTCTATTGGATGATTTTCCCATTTGTCAAATGTTTGGTTTGTTTGTGGGCCCCACACTTCGCTTCCATAGAGTAGGATGGGTTGTATTACTGATTGAAGTAATTTAAGCCAAATTGAAATTGGAATTTGAATGTGGATTTGTCTTTTTATTGCATAAAACGCCCTGCGTGCTTCCTCTCTCGGTTCATTCACAGCTTGATTAAAGCTTCCAGTGGAACTTATTTTCAGGCCTAAATAATTATATTCTGAACAATTTTCTATTGTCTGTGTCCCAATTGTAAAGTCAATATTGTTTGCCTGACATCTGGATCTTTTTTGAAATATCATTGTTTTGTCTTTTTATGTTGATTGCCATGGCCCAGGTCTGACAGTAACCTTCGAGTATATTCAAACTCTGTTGAAGTCCTTCTTTTGTCGGACTTAACAGGATGAGATCATCTGCATACAGCAGGAACCTGATCTCTGTTTTGTGGAGTGTGAGCCCAGGTGCTGTGGACTGTTCTAGGATAGTGGCCAGTTCCTTAATGTAGATGTTGAACAGGGCCGGTGATAAACTGCATCCTTGTCTTACTCCCCGTTTTTGAGAAATCCGATCTTGATGCTGCACATGTTGTGTACATTTGATTAGGTCAAATTATTTTCCCCCTATACCGCTTTGAAGTAGTTTGTTGAATAGACCAACATGCCAAATCGAGTCAAATGCTTTTTGGAAATCAATGAAACAGGCAAATATTTTGCTTTTATTTTGATTAACATATTTGTCAATTAGGGTATGTAGGGTGTAAATGTGGTCTGATGTGCGGTGATTTGGTAAGAATCCAGTTTGGCTTTTGCTCAGGACATTGTGTTTCATAAGGAAGTCTATAAGCCGGGAATTTATAATACTACAAAAGACCTTCCCCAGGTTACTGTTCACACAAATGCCTCTGTAGTTATTAGGGTCAGATTTTATCGCAATTTTAAAAAATGGGTGTTATGAGACCACAATTCCAGCTGCCAGGAAA